TATCCTTATATAGAGTATTTTACAATTCGGTGTTTACTTATTAACATCATGATGTATCCACAAAGGCTGCTAAACAATGATAGTATACCTAACGGTACCCGCTATGGCAGTAAACCCTGGTGTACTAAGCATGGGGTATACTTACTTTTCGTTTTTGTAGGCCTAGATTCGTTGAAAAATATACGATTGTAGCTCGATCCTCAATTGTTTGTGTATGAGTTTCATCGACAACAGGCTGTATTTATCAGAGATTTTCGGTGACGTCCGGGGGTGACGTCCGGGGTAACATCCGTCCAACGGAAGATAATACACAGTTATTTACACGTCGATCCCATAATACGTGTGCCAAAAATAGCAATATGCTCATCTATAGCCTACTTTTTGCAAATTTTCACACATATTTAGGTTTGGGAAAACGTGAAATTAATGCTTGCATTGCTGGCGTAACTATGGTCTTTACAAATAAGATGACATTTATATTAGTTGTGTCAGTGTTCAAATGTGTTTTTTGTTTTACCAAAAATGACCCTCACATCTCAGTTTTCTATACTATTTTGTTTATTGAGGTCCTTCACACGATATGTTACGCATAAATATATGATAATAGGTTTGTGTCTCAGATATTTCAGTCATTTCTCAGTCAAAGCAGACTATACTAGGCAATAAATCAAAATCATGATTACTGTATTATATATGTTGGCATATTAGGTATTTGTATACTTCAAGTCAAATAAATACATGAAAATTTATTTATTTCAACAATCTTTAATGAGGGTGGTCCATCTAGCCGCAGTTGATCATTAGGGACCCTCAATACACGCAGTAAAACAAAACAAAAGAGAGTATGAAACCAATTAATTTACAGTAATACAAATAACAAACTTTCAATTCCTAATTTACATAAAGAATTAATTAAAAATAATGTAAAAAACTTAACATAAAAATTAAAATTAAATTACAATTGAGCATGATTAAAAAAACAATTAAAGTAGGCAAAAGAGACATTAAAACAACAAAGAAAGAAGTTGAGAATAAAGTAGTCCAAATAATCAAATAAAATGAATGGTATAAGAATGTGTGGACCAAAGTCAAGTACAATAATGATTTACAGAGCTTCAAGTCATGATGATCTCAAAGTTTGACAACGTCTATACGAATACAAATTCTAAAGCAATCACTAATAGGACTACATAATTGAATACAATTTTTAAGCAGGCACAAGACTACGTCGTTATACACAAAAAAAATATTTAACACACAAGAAAAGTGGCAAGGTAAAATAACTGCAACCCATAATATATTTCCTATAATATAATGATGCTGGAAATGGAAGATTTGTACGTGCTTAATGTCAGGTAAAAGCGTGCTCAAAATCCAAGGACCAACGGACAAGCACTGGAAATCTTCTGAGCTTAGATGAACAATGTTTAGTTTTGAAATGTGTATGAGTCAGAAATTTGGTGAAAGGGGTCAGCTATTCCAAAGTTAAGGGTCCGAACGAACTAGGATCACCTAGTGTCTTAGTCTGGAATAATTAGATCCCCTCTGAAGGAGGTCGATATTTTATGATTTAGACCAAAATAATAGTTCTCCGAACGACCTGCTGGCACCACATTTATTATGACAAAGATAAGATAAGATACACTTTATTGCTTCAATTATTATTATTATTATTATTATTATTATTATTATTATTATTATTATTATTATTATTATTATTATTATGAGACCAACGTGAATATTTTTTTAAACTTAGATGAACAATGTTTAGTTTTGAAATGAGTATGAGTCAGAAATTTGCCGAAAGGGGTTCAGGTATTCCCAAGTTGAGGACCAGTCACCTAGAGTCTCAGTCTCGAATTACAGGTCGATATTTTATGATTTAGACCAAAATAATAGTGCTCCGACCGACCTGCTGCCACCACATTTGTTATGAGACCAACGTGAATAATTTTTGAAACATTAAGGCCTAAGTGAAGCAAATCATAAATATTTAACACATTCTTTAAAAAAGTATTTTAAAGTGCA